CAGGCAGGGGCACTGTTGTAGGAGAGACCACAACAGGGAAGGATGAGGACTGGCTGTGTGTTCTGCTGTGCTTTGATTTCCTTCTTCAGTGGGTACAGAAGAGAAGGGTCTGATTTTTAGCTGTTTGGACAAGATAAGCCAAAAGAAGCATCTTTTTGGGATAATAGTGAGTTTTTCAGTGATAAAAGGCAGTATGACTTAGACGGGGTAGCCCAGCAAGGTCTCTGATGCTAGCCAGGGATCCAGGTGAGCTAACTCTTGTGAGGCTGTTTTCTGTGTCAGTCATTTCTTGAAGTAGAGTTGGTCCATGAGCTGGAGTTGGAGTGCCTTTAGGAGCATGTGTTTCTTGGGTGTTAATGAGGTTTGTTGCCACGGAGAGTGGCACTCAAGAAGGGAGAAGGAGGCATTGCTGGTGAGCTTTAACATGGTTTGCTGATAGAAATAATCTCTGGGATTGCAGGCTGTGGTGGCACATGCCTGGTCTACATAGTGAGTTCCAAGCCAGCCAAGACTACATAGTGAGGCCCTGTCTTTTTAAAAGGGGCAGGGTGGGGGGCGGAGATCATGACTAGCCAGTGCTAGATTACTTGTCAGACAGGAGAAACATGGGAAAGTGGGGGTGAGGCACATTTTGCAAACCACTTTTGCATGCTCACTGAGCCTCTCCAACAGACTCCGTGAGATGATTCCTAGACTTCGGGGAAGCAAGGCAAGCAGAGCGACTGGGCTGATTGGCTATGAGAAGGGTCCACAAATGGTGTGTGCTCAACCCCATCAGGCTCTGCACAAGCTCATTACAGCCCAAGGAGACCCGGGGGTGTGGGTGTGAATTTATCTGTCCCATGCTAGCCCAGCCGGAAAATCTTGCCAAGTACTCACTAGAACTTGCACAGGCTAACCCTCCCAGGCCTCCAGGGTCCAGGGAACAGGAGGAAAAACTGTGAGGAGTGGCCAGCTAGATTCTCTGCAAGACTGCCCCACCTCCAGCCTCCCTGGGGACTGGACAGCCTGAACTTTTCACCTTGGGCACAGACACTGGAAGAAAGGCCACAGAGGTGTCTGCCTGGGAGGCACAGGGGCAGAGGGCCCTCCTGACCCGTCTGCAATTTGTTCCCTACCATCCCCCCTCCAAAAATGTGGATTGCCCCTTTTACAATTGCCAGATGGCAGCCCCCAGGGGCAACAGGCCTCCCTCCCCCATGTGGCCGGCTGACCTCCCATAAACAGAACAAAGCCTACTACTGTGGCCACACCTCCCACCCTCCAGGGACCAGTAGAGGACGCTTAGGTTACCAGGGCTGCATCTGAGACAACACCATCCCTGGGCTATTCCAACCCCTGGCATCAGGATAGTGTAACCAGCTTCTTCCAGAACCCCCTTGGTAGACCCACAGAGAGTAGAAGAGCCCTGGGCAGACTGACAGCTTGCCTTTTGGGCAAGTGCTCTCAACTTAGTATATAGGGAAACCTCCCCTCTGGCAGTGAGGAGCTAACAAGACCTTACTGTCTTGGTCACAGGGAAAAACATGGCCAGAGTACAGCTATAACTGTGCAAAACCACCCCCATGAGGACGTGCAGAGAGAGATGCAGGAAGTCTGTACAACGGAATAGGCATGGGAGGATAGAGACTGCTCCTGTCACTGCCTGCAGGAGCTGCCTATCAACCATGAGCCCTGTACTTGGCCACATCACAGCCAACCTCTGATGCCCAAGGCCAGGCAGGGAAAAGACTCTTCACAGGGGCAGATCTCCAGAGGTTCTTTCTTTTTTCCTTCCTTATACTATATTGATTATTTAGGCAGTGTTAAATTTGGTCTTTTTGTGTGTGTGGGGGTCTATTTTACAGATTGATTTTTATTATTTTATTTATGTATATATATGTCATGTATGTGAGGGTGCCTGGAGACAGAAGAAGGTGTTAGATCCCTTGGAGCTGGAGCTATAGGCAGTTGTAAGCAGCCTAGCATGGGTGTTGAGAACTGAACTCTGGAAGAGCAGGAAGTATTCAGCCTCTCTCTTATCCCCAGAGGTTATTTCATCATCTCCTCTTCCTCCACTTTTTTTTTTTTTTTTAAGACAAAGACTTGCTAAGAAGCCTTGGCTAGCCAGGAACTCACTATTGTAGACTAGGTTGGCCTCTCAGACAGACAACACCTATCTCCTAACTACTGGGATTAAAGGCATGCACCATCGTGCCTCAAACTTTTGATCTTCAGCTGACAAGCAGTGACCCCACTGCTGCTGGCTTTTAGGCTGATTTGCTCTGTCCCTACAGAAACCTTTGTCCTTTCAAGCCCCCCACCCACCCCCTCATGCCTGGGGGCTTTGGGGACACCAACTGCTCCCTTCCCTGATATCCAGGCCAGTTACTGAGGGACATGGAAGTTTCAAGAAACATTTGTGCTGATGGCTCAGGAGGCCAGCACCCTGGGGAGGACTGGCAGTGTTTCCAGAGAGTGGTTTTTAAGACACACCTGGTCCACAGAACAACTGGGAGGGCAGAGTCTGTTTGCTGTGATCCTTTTCTGGGGGAGAGGACTTGTCCCCTGCATGCCTCCCCCACTTGCAGGTGCAGGGGCAGCCGAACTCTGGAAAGAGGTTGAGGCACTGCGTGCCCCTGGCCACTGTTTTCTCCAGGCCTTCACCCTGTAAAGAGTCCAGTTCAAAAGGTCACTGCCCTGATTTTTATTGTGTCTTTCAAGTTCTCACGACCCTTTGCCCTCTGCACAGACCATGGGGAATGGACCTTTGACAGGGCCCAGCCTTCAGGGGATTAAAAATCCACTGAATGGTCCGAATCTGAAGCCACCAAGGTTAAGTGTTCGAGTAGCCTAGAAATGATGTTAAAAATCAAGCAAACTAGCTGGTGAAGTGGTGCAGGGGTAAAGGTGCTTATGGCCACAGCTGGTCACTGGAAAAAGGGAAAGCTGACTTCAGTGTGTGTCTGTTTAAAAAAATTGAGCAAACTCGGGATACTAACAAGTACCGGCTAGTGGTAGTAAAGATAATCAGATAGCCAGGACAGCACCTGAAAATGGAGACATGTGTTAGTGCCCGAATTCAAAGGCTGGCCAACAGAGGCAGAGGTTCCCTTCTAAGACAACATCGAAATGTAAAGGTGAGTAGTCCTCAGTCTTAGTGGGCTGCCTTTGCTCCTAGTGCCTGGTGGCCATGGCTGTCCTAGGACAGCTGTGTCTCCATCTCCTCTGGACTGCATAGACTGTCTGTGACTTCTGTAGTGAAGAGTGAGCTGGTTCATATTTTTGTCTCAAGCTCCTTAAGTACTGTCTCACAAATATTGCCCTTAAGGGAATTGACTGTTTTATCATGACCAGAGCCTTTTCCTGTTTTATTCTAGCATCTTGACTTGTCAGTATTATGTCTGGGTCTTTTTTTGTGCCTCCTCCTGCCCTGAGAGGCTCCCTGGGGTCTGTTAAATGTTGAGGGTACTCGTTTTCTGAGTCTTAAATCAGGGAAACTGCCTTAGTGGTAGTAAAAATAATCAAATAGACAGGAGAACACCTGAAAACACAGACATTTGTTAGGTTGCCACCAATTCAAAGTGCTAATGTCATGGGGGCAGTCTTCCTGAGATGACCCCTGAAACCATTTGGCCCTTTGTCCTGGTGACAGATGAAGAAGGGGTCTTCAGCTGGCTGCAGGGATGTACTGGAGTGTCTGGCTTCAGCTTTGCCCATTACTTTTAGCAACAGTAGCTGGCTGGGGCCTCTAGCTAAGACCCTGCCCACTTTCCCCAGTTCAGTGGATTGTTATGAAAGAGATGGGTGGTGTGAGGGGAGGGGAGGGGTGTGTGTGTGTGTGTGTGTGTGTGTGTGTGTGTGTGTGTGTG